TAAAATAAATGTCCTTGGACAAGTACGCCTAGCCTTGTAGAAACCTATTCCATCTTACCTTGAAGTAGCAATTGAATTCCAAACCTTTTACATGCCCGAAACTTATGAAACAAAAAAAAATTATAATCTAAATGCAAATTGTGTCCAATAAAAAAGGAAAAGATTTCGAGGATAAATTTGTGTAAGTTTTTACCGATTTCCCTAAAGAAGGGGGTCACAATTCATGTCTAATTTTGCAGAAAGTTTTGACAATTAACCAAACAAATAATAACAAATACAACCTTTTCGATATATATTTGTTTAATACAAGCAGCTTCAATTTATTTTATATACGAGCTGCCGACCACAAACTTGGTAAGCGCAAATTAAAAAGTAGCCTATAATAGACTGTCTATGTCAGCTACCCTTCAGTGAAAGTCCGGTCAAAATCGGCCCAGCCATTTCAGAGATTATAAAGTAACATAGGGCTATGTTTCTCAGGAATCATGTATTACTCAAATGGCCAAAGAACTTTTGATATCGGTGCAGTAGTTATTGTTACAAACATAGAAAAACCATTTTCAGTTTGTGTAAAAATACATAAATATCTTTAGGTGAAATGTGGTAAAAAAACAAAGACAAGGAAGATATAAATTTCAGTGATATGGCAACACCGGACGTCGTACTTGTGTGACCTTGACCTGACCAAGTTGTGACCCTACGTGAAGATACAATTCGATTTACTTAACTTTTATATACTAACAATCCAACAACACACACATATGTACATAAAGTACATACTTTATAAGGACTTGACCACCAGATAGAATTCCTAACGACATCGACAATATATATTTAATACTTGCAAATTTTCGTGCTAGGCCCCCTGATGTTAAGTGGTGATGAGGTCGAATGAGACCGAAGAAATATGGATAGATTGGGTAAAAGAGAATATGCTTAAGAAAGGGGTGGATTCAGATATGACGGCTGATAGAGATGTATGGAAGAGCAGCACATACTGTGCCGAACCTCTTTAAGAGATAAGGGCATGTGGATAATGAGGTCGAAAGGTGGTATATAACAGTTTAGTAAAACATTAACAGCTATTAGTAATTAACGATAACGATATATCAGTAAACGTTAATTCGTAGAATCTCCATTGAAAACATTAATCTGTTTAAATCGTGTTTTTTTTTACTTTTAAATAACTACAGTTAATTTTAGAACACATCAGTAACTTCGAGTCGAGTAGCACAGTCAGAATGATATGTGACATCCCTCAAACACAATGTAAGGGTTGTTTGTTGAGGTCAGAAAATGTCAGAGGTCAACCTACAACAGTCTGCTTGAATTTCAACATAAGTGAATTGTTTAGAATACTAATAGACATGGAGGTAAATAAAATTATACTAACAGTGGTGACATAATCTATACTAAGTATAAAATTTTCAATTTACTGATTTCGTTTAGGTCCGACAAACTCATCAGATTCCTAATCAACACAATATAAAATTTCTAAATAAATGTCTACAATAACATTACAAATAACAAATAATCAAATTGTATAATAGTTTTGTAACCACTAAACGGAAAGTGGTTTTATATAAATTAGAAAATTAAACTAAACCGCAGAAATAAAAGACAATATAAAAATTAAATCAATATATCATAAGCCATGTGAAATAATTATAAAATTAGTTCATATCGCATTGCAAACACAAGGTTACCACACCATTGTTCAACATTATATCTTGTTAAAAACATATAAATTACTAGCTTAAAAATTACTAGCTAGTCCGCGTGGAATTACAAAATACGAAACTGAGTAGTCATGTGTTCTTCCAGACTATCCTTTATATCTATACCAAATTTCATCGAAATCCGTTCAACCTTTTAGGCTTACAAACTCTAACAAATATCCATCCATCTAAACTTTTACATTTATAATATTAGTATGAAGTATGAAATGAAATGAACAATCTGAATAGTGATTTATTTTTAAAAGGCCAGTTACATTTACTTTACGGTTATACAAACGGCTAGAAACTTTTCCTGACCAGCTTTTACGGAATGACTAAAAAAATCGTAACTTTTTTCTCACTTCGATTCAACGCTCCCTGGCAATTACTGGTATTAAAACTTGAAACATTCAAAAGCTAGCTGAAAAATACAGACTAAAAATATACAAGGATTTTTTTTCAAGTTCCCATCCTGGCGGATACGAGAATGTACCTCTTAAAACTTGACATGTGCATGGCAAAAATTCAAGCAACATTTTTTATTAGTACATTTTTCAAATTTCATCCCCTTACTATTACCACGTAAATGTCGTATAAAATATATATTGGAACGAAATTGATACCAGCCATATTGGATTTGCGAATCGGATTTAATTTTCTAGTCCATTGGATTTAGCGAAAATAGCTGATGAAAATATAAATTCAAAATATTTTGTAATATAAATGATACGTATCAAGTCTGCTTCTACACTAATATAAAAAGAAATGATTGTATTTTTGTTTGTAACTCATAAACTCAAAAACTACTAGAACGATTTCAAATATTCTTTGTCCAATTGAGAGCTACATTATGAGTGACATAGGCTACATTTACTAGATTTTTTAAATTCCTCACGGACGAACTAGCGAGCAAAAGATAATCATGAATATAATAGAGCACATTGTCACGTTACGGGAAACATTTAAATGATACACGGCACTCGTACAGTAGTGATTTATTACGCTATAATGAGGAAGTTTCTAGTTTCAGTTGTATTACAGTAGCGTCTAGAATCATTCTAAGACTAGGTTTTGATTGCAAAAATCAATATCGCCATCTCTTACATTCTCTTTGAAAAAGAGATTAAAATGCCCAGTATTTTGACAGTGAGAACCGACATTAAAACGGTCTTTATAACCTATACCTAGGATTATAATTCTACGTATTTGTCAACATAAATGCATGGTATGGACATGTCATGCGACGAAACGATGGGGATTTAAACCAGAAAGTGTTAAGATTGAATGTGGGAGGCTACAAAGATAGAGGAAGATCGAAGAAAGTATGGAAGGATTGTGTGAAAGAGGATATGCTTAAGAAAGAAGTGGATTCATATGACGGCTGATAGAGATGTATGGAAGAGCAGCACATACTGTGCCGACCCTCCGTAAGGGATAAGGGCAAGTAGATGATGATGTCAACATAAATGCAAGTACTTCACAATCAATTATTTTAAGATCAATGGCGAGTGAAGTGTGAAGGTTGCAACGACGGTGACTATGTAACAACATGATGCAATACATTTAGGGCTGCCAACACCGATAGGAAACCAAAAAACCTATCTTACTAATATTATAAACGAGAAAGTTTAGGTGGATGGATGGATCGATAGATGTTTGTTTGAGTTTGTAGATTAAATTGCTGAAAGGATCTCATAGGCTATGTACTTATTTTTTATTTTACGAGGGCAAATTCGTGGGATAAAACTACTTAATCATATCTTCACTCGCGTTAATACTTTTTTTCTCAATGCGTCTGTATGTTTTTTTATGTGTGTTACGGCATAACCCCGCCGCTAGTGGACCGATTTTGATAATTCTTTTTTATTCGAAACATAGTGCTTGCAGGCGGGTCCCATTTTTTTGTTTAATTTTTGGAGTCAAAGACTACGACGTAGTTAAATAGTTTAGCTCAAAATTCGCATGATGACATTTGGGGTCTTTTTTGCTTTCTTTGCTAACTTAGCCTAAACTATAAGACTTACATAAAAATGATGTATGGAAGAATTGTAGCCCTTTAAATTTGCTAAATTAAAGTCCGCGATAGCATAGCACAATATCCACTTTTTTCATTAAAATATCGATCGAAATCTATATCCCACTTACAACGCTATTATTAAAAAAGTAATAGTTGACAACCCTAGTTAGACTAGAGCCTCTGATTTGGACATTGATGTCATCCTGCTATTGTGTGCATAGCCTTACAAGGTCATTTCAATGCATGTAGTAAATATGATTATATAAAAATACAATACACATATCTTAGCTAAAAATTAAATAAATACCGTGTTAATTTAAAGTAAAACAACAAAGAACAATTTGTTATTTATTGACCAAATAAGCATTTGAACTAAGTACTTCAAATACTCTATGACTTATATGTCAGAGCAGTTGCATGTGATTTATGCAATAATCAACATGAAAATTAATTTTATATTCTATAAAACTAGTAAATATAATAGGTGACATAAATACTAACATATATAAGAACCGACAGGAATACCGAAGCTATACAACAGTTACTTATGAATCCATATAAATGTAGTTCAGATAAACCAAGCATTTTCTGTCTGTCCGATGTGAAATATTTCAATTCAGATATATTTTCCTAGGGATTGAATATACCATTATTTTGTTATTTTTGGTACAGAAGTGGCAACAAGCAGGAGGAACATGGAGGTAATCATTGAGTCATGGACATTCACAACAGAAGAATTAAAGAAGTGATGCCAGTAGGTTCCTTCTTCTTGAAGAACCCTAAGTCGAAGTTTAGCATAAGGTTTATGTCTAAACAATAGTGTTTTATGTTACGCAAAACCATGCCAGCGTACACAACTATAATGTGCATTGAGTATTCATTTGTTTTGTAAATTAAATATTTTTTTCAATAACAAAACTAAACTAGATTGCAGTTTCTAATATGCCAAGTTTATAATTTTAATAGCATTTAAAAATAACATAATTAACAAACTGTTGTCCATTAATTTTGTGGTATTTTCTAAAATAGTAGTCCTGTTTATATTTAAACATACTTCCAAAGCATAAATAATTGGCTAGTTTGTTCCAAAATCTTTAAAACTAGTGAGCTGATTTTAATCATTAATTCAGAAGGAAAAATCTATCTTATTAGCAAGTAATATGTGTTAGATTAATTTTCCATTCAAACTATTTTTAGACATGGCAGAGAAATTAGTTTGAGTTGCTAGTTGGATATAAAACAAAAGACATATTTAAAAGGCTTACCTTTTATTATCTCGGTGGAGGACAAAATGATGTCATTCTCATCCATTCTCACTTTGTAGCAGAGCAGGGATGTTGTTTTCTTTATTTTGATAACTTTTATAACTTCTTTATGGTAATACACCTCTTCAGACCGCCAACTTGAAGCTTTGCATTATATTGATGTGTTAATAAATTCTTGTGTACTTAATTTGATATGTACCTGGAAACAAATATCTTTATCATTAAAGTATTCTTTAAGCTGAAAAAGGTATTTTGATAAAAAAAAAACATTTTTAGGGTTACTAGGGCAACAGGGTAAGCTTGTATAGCAAAAATTGTTGGACTTTTCTTTTCATAGTAAAGAATGAATAATTTCAGAATTATTAAGTATAGATATTATTGAATAAAAATTGAGAATATCACAAGAAAGAAATATCTTGGTTTGATGGATAAAAAATTTGGGTGGGAGACAGATTTTTTGAAATACTTAAAACAACATATTTAGAGATAAATGTGGGCAGTATTACCTAAATTGAAAACTTGTTGGAAAGCAGGCCTACTTAATCCCATTAGACAACTACTTTTTTCGTTCATTTCCTTATCAGTACTTTGACGAAATATCACAGAAAGTGTCTATGCCCAACTAGATATTAAGACGAAAACTTTTAAAAGGAAATTAACTTCATTATGTAAAAGTAAATAGTAAAATAAATTGATTATCGTACCATCTGTTTGCCGAGCCGCTTCAATGATTGCACACGAACAGGTAGCCTTGATAAGTAAAAATCAAAACATATTCTGATAAGAAAAAAACAATGAATAGCACCACTACTGCACTTAACTATGTATAAACATAACAGTAACTTAATTAAAATATGCACACAGGTGAACTAAAGCAACATAACGTAACTATCTAGTTTTGTTCTCATCGTAGCGCCTTTTTTTAGTCTCGGCGACAACGCAGTTTGTGCCGAGGCGTAGGAGTCTTCTTAATAGACGGCGTGGGTGGACTCCTTTACTCAAAAGTAAGGTCAAATCGTTTTGCACCGAATCCACGAAGCCTTCGGAACACTTTTACAGAGTATTATCACTATATTTCTGTTTCAAATCATTGAACTCCGTACACCGCTAAACCATATCTTTTGACTATACGTTGGCAATTCACTTAAAAAACATAGAAAACTAAAGCACCAGGCGAAATAACAAATCGAGACATTAATTGGCCAGGCGACACAAGGTCGCGGATTCTCGTTCAGCTAGAATGCAATTTATAAGCTCTCCATTTACAACGTGACGTATTTTATTTATTCGTCGGAGCCACTGCCCAAGAACCGTTGAAACGAAAAGACAAACTCGTTTCGTTTTTCTTGTCAGATGTCAGATGAACAGAGCTTCTGTCAAACTGGAGTTGCCATTATACAGTCCTGGGCGATTATTAAAGACCTAATTGTCCATTTAATTCTTAATGGCAAAAAAATCCGAAAATAAGAGCGACTACCGACAACTCTAACTAATTATTGGTTAAATAGCGTGCAGTTCCTTTAGTTCCAGAAGAACGGCAGATGCGTAACCAGCCATAAAAAGTACACTCGGTCCTCAAAAGACTTCCTAGCAATGTTAACCTTTTTCATGTTATTCTTTATAATTTGGGTTACATATAGCGAGTTTAGTAATAAACTCCACTAATTTTAGTTAACTATGCTCTCACATTATACTTTTATTCATATTACAAGGTGGCAAACGAGCGAGTGGCCACCTGAAATCGCCAAAGAGTAGAAGCGACCGCTGCCCAAAATGATATGATGTAGGTATAGGAAATAATGAGTCGCAAGTACTTGTTATTTCTTTTATTAATTAACAAAGTATAGTTCCTTAAATCTAATTATTCAGTTGTTGATTTACTACTTTACATCTATTTGTAGCTGCCATTACCGCACCAATTACAGCAGATCTGAAACCTGTGAAGACAGAGGTGATTTTAAGTTTAAAATATAAGGAAAACATAAGAACAACAAGTCGTGTTTAGAAGTTAAAGTAACATAAACGATGGTAACTAATGAACATTTCAGTTTAGAGATCGAGTTACCAGTATTGAGAGATCTGCCCAGCGTTTAATTCGTTCTTACTAACTATTCTGATTAACAAAACAAACCGTTCTGTTCAAGATGATATGTCCCTTCCGCGGTCGAGCCTCCTGGACTCGTGACGTTGTCCTTCATAGGAGCAGGATGTCCGCCATTACGAAGCATGGCCGCTGCACCCAGTGTCGTCTGAGCAGCCAGTCTCAGTGCCAGATCTCTAGGCAAGCCGCAACGTACACCACCATCCGCTAGAGATTCTATTAGCATGTACACCTAAAGTAAAGCTTTTGTTAAGATCAGTCCTTACTTATTTTCATTAGTTAAGCTTTTATAAAATTTATCTTTGATACTTTTAATGTTTTTTGTTCACGTTTTCCCACAGGTCTACACAATATAAATACAGAGAATATGTTAAATTCATATTATAACATTATATTAGCACTAGCTTTCGCCCGCAACTCCGTCCGCGTGGTATTAAAAAAAAACAAAACCAAGTAGCCTATGTCATTTTCCACACTATCCTCCACATGTGTGGCAAATTTCATTGAGATCCGTTCAGCAGTTTAGGCTACAAACTCTAACAAAACATCCATCCATCCATCCATCGAAACTTTCACATTTATAATATTAGTATAATGATCAATCACTTTTATTCATTTTGAAACCAAAGTTTTATGAAAGGTCATGGTTCTTCATCTTCCTTCTCTTTTGTGTCAATCAAGAGTGTCTTCAACAAATTTGTGATGGTTTTCAAAAAGCTACTCACATACGCTGGTCCGCTACCACTCAGCGCTGTGACAGCGTCCATTTGGTACTCTGGCACTTCATCACAGGTGCCGACTGCGCGGAACAGCTTCGCGGTCAGCTGAGCGTCGTCAGCCGTCGCCCGGGAGCCACGGCTCAGCGCCGCCGCACCCTCCTTAACTAGCGCTGGTGTGTTTGGCATCACTCGGATTACACGGGCTTCTGATGGCAGTGTCTGGAATACATAATATACATAACTTTAACTGTTATTCTACTTAAAAAAATAAACACCGATCGACGAACTCGTTCCTAGCCGTATTCGGATTACGTTTATGAAACTTTGTATGCCTGTTTCCTCGGTTCTAAGTACGATTAATAAATATAAGTAGCTGTTCGCCATGGTAAAATATATGTTGGCCTGGACAAAGCTTACAGTTAACTGATCCAAGACCTATTTTTTGGAAATCATTTACTCATCATTTATGGTTTTGAACGTATATCATGGCAACATTGTCATATCTGTCATATTCAGTTATGACAGGTTACGTTATTATTTAAAATCAATTTAAAAAAAATTGAAAGTTTGTACTTAACAGTAAAGATAAAATGTACCTTTTCAATTGTAGTAGTCGAGACGCCCATAGCTACAGATATGAATAGTTTGTTTTTCGAAGCGGGTAAATCTTTTATCTCCCGGAGTGCTGGTACCACGATGTCAGGTTTCACGGAAACTATCACGACTTCTGACCGCTCCACGACAGGTTTGTTTTCAAAGAAAGCCGTAGCTCCTAAACCCTAGAATTATAAAGGGTTTTAGTATGCACATGCGCGGATTTTGTTGGTTTAATTACGAAGTTCCAAAAGAAATACCTTTTACCTTAAATGCATCAGCACTGGTTGTGTCTGAAGGATGACAGCTGGCTGTTATTTCATCCGGCTTCGCTAAACCTGGAATTGGGGTGAGTAAAGAAAATTGTTTTTACACGTAAATGATACAAGCTGGCACGTTTGGTAGAGAAGTATTCATCTTCCTGACGTGCCAACTGTTGCGTACTGCATTTTTTATATCATAAGGTGGTTAAGAAGTGCCTAATTTCGCCGAAAAAGCGAAGCGAGCGCTTCCCATAGAAACTCACAATTGCAGAAGAAATCTTGATCTTTGAGAAAATGCATTGCCATTAATTCTCATCGCAGTTAATTTCTGTTGAGAATGAGATTATAGTTACCTGCAGATATGAATCCATTTGCCAATGCAAACGCTAATCTGCCGCCTCCGATAAAACCGATCTTCATTGCTTCGTTTAATGTTACTGTAAATAAGAAAAATGTTGAGCAATATTTACAGATTTAATCATTTTAACACGTCTGCACTCCTTGCATTATCGCTGAAGGAGAGGGATATCAATGTAACATATTTTTATTATATAGTAGTTTCAAAGCATTAACTTTTATCAAGAAATTTAAGATCGTAAACGATGTCGCTTGAGTGATTTTTAATGCAAAGTAACGATAGAAAAATATTAAAATCTTATAATACGTCTTGACAGTGTAGTGTAATATGAGAATTAAATCATGTATAGTTCATATTACAAAACAAATAAATCATAAAGTGAGTTATTAGCATAGATAATAAAGATGTAACAGGTATACTTTACAGTAAAGTGTTTAATATTTTCAATATTAAATTTTAAAGCCATGTAAATTTTAAAGATAATTCTTACATCGTGTGAATTCTTAGGTAATGCTCGTCTAAAAATAAATTAAAAATGACACTCACGTAAGAAAGATTAAATTAGCAGCTCACGCTGTTCCAGTTTGACAGTTGAATAACGACTGACGGGGTCGTATGTTATCAGTGATATTGTTATCTAACTCGGGTTGTAACAATTATAATCATGAGCGTCATCCTAAGATCAATATTTTCATATACAAAACGAGCCTCCGAGGTTATCGTGTACCAGACACGTTTTTTTTCGATTCTTGAAACTTTTTTTTGCAAAATTACCCATTTATTACAAGTATCGAATAGATGATTTAAAAAAGGAGCGCAAATATACAAACACGTTCATTTATATTTTTTAATCCAGAAGCAAACTTAAGACAGTAAAATAATCGAAAACTTAATGCAAAATGTTATATGGAATTCCAGCACCGAAGAAAATATAAAAATATTGTTATCTGGTTTTCAAAAAGAGAGGGTCAACGCATCTGTAAATGCGGATGTCTATGGGTCTCTTTGATATTTGCCAATTTTGCTGACCATTTACTCGTGTATCATTGTACTAAAAATTATTTTGGTTTGGAGTATGCGCAGTGAAAGCGCAGGGTTATTGTCTTTTTAATTAAATTAAACATGGAGGTTATAACAGTCATCGCGATAAGATATATCTTTTCGTTTTTAAACACCACAAGCCTCCGCAAACTGTGGATGAACTAAAGTACGTGCTTTTAATATTTACGCACAGTTGAAATGGAAAAAACCACTTCATGATTACATTTATAATCTCTAAACCACACAGATATTAAGATACTTGCAAAAAACGTGTGTTATGTGTTCGGGAAGGAAGCTCTCGCGACTGTTATTGTTGTGGTATACACAGAAAAAGTATGGATATTTAACATATACATAATTTAACAGTGGTAGAGTGCAAAACAAGAGAATGAGTTACCCATATATATATATATATATATATATATCAGTATATCTTAGTATATCATGCTACAACTTAATTCTGGTTTATCATATGACTGTATCGACGCCTATAAAACTTAAATGGCAAAAGAACTATCTTGAGTATTTTAGTACATATAACTCTAGTTTGCTCAGAGGAAATGAAAAGGAAAGAATTTTTATGGCGCTATTTTTAAAAATAAAACTTATCAAACTGCTGAGTTTTCCTATAAGCTATATTAAATTGCAATGTTTTCTACTAATAAATATTGGTCCTTTTATCGGTAGCATTTAATGGAATTCTTTAATTTTAATTACATAATCTATTTTTGATAAGTTCAATCATCCTGTTTGTTTATAATGCGTAAATGAAGTAATATTTGTCTTATAAATTACTATATTTACTGCTTATAATTGCACCTCGTGACGTTGTCAGCTTCATTGCTGACAGCCTTGTGGACAATTTGATTCCTAACGAGCGTTAATAGACGGACCATATTTGTTGACCGCATTTTAGTATGCGCATGTTTCAATTGTAGAACAGCCAAAAGCTTTCTACTTTATGTGAGAATAAAAAATGGACGTTTCTCTTAAGAAATGAAAATTTCCGATTGATGGCTGGCCTCTCAGATCGGTTCATTTTTCAGAAATGAATTAGTTATATGATAAATGAACAATAAAATTTGAAATCAAACATGTAATAATTTGCGCGTCTAAGAGCTTTAAGCAGTGATCTTCGAGAATAACTCTTCTTGCGAAGAAAAATATGCAATGATGCAATTGTGTATAAGCCCATTTGTGTTACATGCACTAACAAATAAAAACAGCAAACATCGAAGAACAAGTATTGATAAAAGCAATATATAGTGTTTTGCATACATAATAATTACTATTTATATATGCATAATGCAATTTATAAACAACTAAGTTGACACTTATGACCAAGGTCCATAACTTCTAGATCTAGGAAATGAACTGTGATTATATTGCATTACATCTCGTTTCTAATAACTTAATAACAGTAGTGTATTGATAACCAACATATATAAAATATTAGAAACGTAAACTTTGAGTAAACAGATCTACATAAATATTACACTGCGAGGCATTTTATAATAAAAAATGGGCAAACACCAAGGTGACCAGCGATGCATATTGACATCCGCAACACCATAGGAACTGCAGTTGCTTTGCCGGCCTTTAAGGAAATAATAGGGTCGCTTCTTGAAGGACCCTAATTCGTATTGGTTTGGAAATACCGCCGAGGACAGACGGGCGTCCCAAATTAGTAAAAAAATGAACTAAAAATAATCAAGTTAACTAAAATTTGTTTAATCGTTTTTTCAAATATTTGCAACAGATAAATGATAACGACGTAAATAGCAAGGATAAACTTTGACCAAACAAAGGTACACAAAGTTAAATAAAAAGTACGACGTGTTCAAAGTACAAATATAGCAATGTAAATAAGAAAATATAATTTGTTTACATGGTAACAGTGCTTTCACACTTTTGTTAGTAAAAATCAAACTTTTGTAATCAAATACAAACGGAAACTATAACGTTTTTCATTGGTTTTTTATTTTATAAAGGAAATTCATTAACAATTTAAATCTAAAGATAATCAGCTGCGACAATTTTAATCACCACATTTTTCGCGTTAAAATATCGCACAATAGAAAGCTTTCTTTAGTTTATAAAATTTTATAAAGATGCATACATATAAAACTTCTGTATTAGTTTTCTATGTTGATTTCGAAATGGAGTTGCATTATTTTCACCGTTATCGGTTTATAAAGATAAGAAAAAGATCGATAACATTGGATTAACTTTGAAGTTTAACTCATACCGATTACTGCTATAAATTGTGTTTTAACGGCATAATGTAATTTAAATATTCTATCATACTAATATATTAAATGCAAAAGTTTAGATGGATGAATGGATGTTTGTTAGAGTTTGTAGCCTAAACTCCTGAATGGATTTCGATGAAATTTGGTACCAATGTAAAAGATAATGTGGAAGAACACAGATTACTCAAATTTTTTTTTTGAATTCCACGTGGATGGAGTCGCAGGCTAAAGCTAAATTTTATAACTAAAATGAAATCCTAAAAAACAAAAAATCAACACTTATTTGAATATAAATAACAATATTTTTAATGAAAATCTACAATCAAATCGAGATTTATTTACTCACATTTAATCATTTTGATTTTTGTTTAGATCACATAAACAGATACTAAATTAACTTATTAAAACCAAACAATCATAAGACACAATAATTATAAAAAATATAAATAGTTATAACACAAATCAGCTGTACATTTCCACAGTATCCAGTGTCCTGTTATCAACTGAACTGTATTCACGTTGACTGTACACAGTGGACGTCTATGATCGGTACAGTCAGGGGAAAAAGCCAATGACTGTATTGTTATTATTATTAGTTACATATTTTACTATAGAAAATCCACCGACAGTAAAACCTCAAAGTAGGCAAGTATAGATGGATTTGTTTCTCACACGTATGTGGGTACATCGACAAATGTCTATACATCCTACAAAAAAAAATCGTTTAGAAACAATCTTTTGATCCTGATTGTACAGATAATGTTTTATTTGTCGAAAGCGTGTGTTATCATTCCAGCACGTGGGCTGCATGGCTCGGACTTCGATCCGATGTTTGAACATTCCTAATGGCCACTGTCATTTATGATATCAATTAACTTCGTACTAAGTACGAGTTTGTACTATTCCGGCTTAATTCTCACGCAGTATTATCTGTTAGTACACTAAGGTACAAAGAAATAATATAAATCGAAATTGGATAGTTGTAATACATAAAAATTTTATTTTTAGGATAGCGACAACGTTCAGTTCGAAAAATATTAAAAATAATTTTGCTTATGAACATCAACGAGTTTCGACATAACTCATAGAAAAAAAAATTGAAAGTCTTATAAAATAAAATGATTAAAGAGGCTAAATAGTTTATAGACATCCCAACAAATAAAATAACACAATGTCTATGTATTTTCCTTCCTTAACCACCTTTTAGAATCATTGTAAAGGAATTATTAAAGTGACTAACTACCTAACTTTGAAACACTAACATTCAAAAACAAAAAAAAAAACCTAAAACTATTTCAAAAACCTTGCCAAGTCCTCGGTAGTATAGTGGTAAGTATCCCCGCCTGTCACGCGGGAGACCGGGGTTCGATTCCCCGCCGGGGAGACTTTTTTTTTGTAAAAGTTAGTCCTTTTCATTTATTTTTACTTACCAACTCTTTTAATCAACCAAATTAAAACGTTCCTTGTCTATACATTTGTTAGGATATTAAAGTTTTCTATAATAGATTAGGCGCTTTTGCGTTTCCCGCCTCAGCCCCACCACGGTAGTAAACTAGCTCCATCTACATTTTTCAAGAACAACATAGAGTAAAACCCTATGTTGCCTTTATTATTAATTTTTTGTTTAGGTCTTTCATAATGCACAGGATAAAACACGCAATTTTTTTTTAAATGACTGAGTCGTAAAATTGTGACAATAAAATTCAGATTAATTTAAATACATACTTTGTTTCACAAAAAAGGATAACATACTTAAAACATATTACACAAGAATAGTTAAATGCATTAAGGTACAAATTGTAAGAAATAATCCCGTTCGGAATACGTCTTTTATAAAAATTATGTATGTGCTTTCATTTTGCTTTGACTTCCACAAAATAATCTATAAGTAGAGACGCAAGTGGTAATTTTTTGAACAAGACTAGACTTGGTAGTTTATGAGCTGCGGCATGGCAACACTTTTCACAACGTGCTTTTTCTTCTCATTCGCGCTCGATGTGTTGTCGGCGGCGATGTGACAACTTGTGTCGGATGCTTGTCTATGGGAGTGATCACTTGCGGTTTTCGGGTATCGAATAGTGGTTAAATATTTATATCCAGTTAATTATAGAAAACCATTGAAATTATCGAATGACAGTGAATAAAGTTATCTCTTAAATATGGCGTTGGAGGGTGTGAAAAGTGAAAAAAGTGAGGAAAACAATACTAACGGGCCGGACGGCAAGGCGAATGGGATCGAAAACAAAAGTAAACAGGTACTGATTGCAATCAAAATTTTGCACCGAATATTATAAAACGTTTGTTTTTTTTTTATACGTGCCAAACGTTACATATCTAAAACGACTACTATTTATTATTATTTCTAGTAACGTTTGTCGCAAATGCCCGCTTTATTTTCGCGTAGTAGATTTGCAGATAGGTATGTTTTCATTTGCGTCCACACTGGGAAACTTGGACAAGGTGTCATTGTACAAGATGACCTATTTCAGTTGCCGCGTGTAAGGATTAAGCTTTTCGAATGGAGATTTACGTTTTTTAGGTCGAGTATTTTGTCGTTTTTATGACTAACGATAAAAATTCATGTTGAAAATAAAAAAATTAATGTATGAGGGAATTTGTACTAAATTATTCATGTTTGAAACATGTTTTTTTACTTCTGTAATAATTTGATTGACTTGTATTCAAACCTTATTAGATTATTCTTATCAGAAATCATCAATACAACAGTTTGAATGAAGAAGAATATGAATATGAAATGTGACATAAATCCTAAGTAAAATAAGATATGGGAAAAATAATAACATAGAAACTAGGTTTCTTTTCCTTTATCTGGTATATTATGAATAAATAATTTCTTTGTTAGAGAAAATAATAAAGAATTACAAAATTATTGTTCTCCAGGATAGAGTTATCTCTACTTTTAGACTAGTTATTAAATTCAATTCAGTTTTTAAATTAAGAACATTGTGTTATATCAAAAAATATATGATAAGTAATAATTCTTACCTATGAAATCTTCACATTGTTTCCATTAATTATCTTTTAAATTTGTATAAAAAGAAATTGATAAAACTTGACTATGTATTTTGGTCTATTTATCAGGCTATAGTTAGTATTGGTCTACTACATGTCCAAGAAATTAATTCAGGATTCAGTTTCTTTTGTTTTTAAGCTATACTTCTTATTAAGATAGAAGTATTATAAATGTTAAAGTATTCTCAATTATGCTCTAGTTCCGGGGTTGTAATGTAATGTTGGTACCGCTGACTTCTGCAAAAACTAAACCTTTAACATCTATACATTTTCTAACAAACAAAGATTATAACATGAATGAAAAAATAGAAATTAGAAAATTATAAGTGTAAAAGTTATATAAGATACTTAATTGCCTAGAAACAGATATTGATAGCTCAATAACAACTTGTAATAATTAAAAAAAATTGTAACACATTTTGATAAACTCTATGGAAAAAAATCTATACTGCTTCCTTCCCTAATTATCACCTCCTTCTCTCTGGACTGGCTGGAAATATCCATGGTACAGCCTAACCAAGGAAAAAAAAAACCTGATCTAGGAGCAAACGCCATCGCATTTATTACGTCATTTACAAAAGTCGGTACCATTTTTTCCGCAATTCAGTACTAAATTAATTTCAATACATTATCGTCACATCGCGGTAGCTAGTATGATCGCATATCCAATGATAAGGATAAGATAAAATATTCAAATACAATGTCAGTGCTATCAAAATATTAAACAACGTCTAACAGTAGGTTTCTATTGCTGGAAACATATTGCCATCTCTCTTATTGACGAGAAAAACGAAGACAAAAGTATGTTTTAGTGCAGTTTTTTTGTAGTTAAAACGTAAAGTATATGTTTAATATTGAGTACAAGGCATGGTATAAACGAATTCCCAATCAAAATTTTAAAAACTATTATATCGTGCCGATATTGTTTCTTGTACCTAAACGCCAAATGTGCAGTATTGTTACGCAATTTTGATACTCGAATATAATCTTGTTAGGCAGTGTTGATATTTAGAGCATTGTTTTGGGGACTACAAACATTTAAAATGTTGTAAAGTTGAAAATCCATAGACCAACGTAACGTTACTGTAAAATATCACAGCTATTGTTAAGATAACGTACATTATTAAACACTAGCAATTGCCCGCGGCTCCGTTGCGTGGATTAAAAAAAACACAAAAGTTGCCTGTGTGTTCTTCCAGACTATCCTCTATATCTATGTCAAATCTCATCGAGAACCGTTCAGCAGTGTAAGCTACAAACTCTAACAAACCATCTAAACTTTCGCATTTAGAATATCTAACTTATTATAATAAAGCGTAAACACACACTTCTTTGTTGCCTAAGATGTCGGCAATTACAGCATATTTTTTGAATAAACCTTTTTTTAATAAATAGCCCTACACTTACGTCACTAACTAGTTAGTATGATTACACGAAGCTTTAAGTAACAAAGAAAAGTAGACTTATTAAGATAGCTCTTACTATCTTTATATTGCATCATCACTTTCTTCAGGTGGGAACGTGGTCAAGCGCTAGCCTAACATAAAAAAAATGTATGATAAATATACAGCAATATTGAACAAAGTCAAGGTTGCTTATTACAGCTTTTTTAATTCATTAGGCAAAGTAATTTACGTACACACGGGCGCGGTCCACTTTGCGGTTTATTACGTGGAAAATCATTATGCCATTAGTGTTAGGGTTACAATCTTGTTTAAGATATAAAACTCTTGTTTTAATACTGAACAAGTATTTTATACTAGCTGTTGCCCGCGACTTCGTCCACGCAATATTAAGATAAAAAAGTAGCCTATAATATGCCCGTCTATGTCAGCTACCCTTCAGTGAAAATTCAGCCGAAATTGGTCCAGCCGTTTCGGAGATTACTCGGAACAATCGCAGCTTGCGGACAGACAGTCAGACAAAAAAAATTTAAATGCAATTTTTGTTACCAGCAAAGCAAATACATCATCTTCGCGAGCCCTGGAATTTTTCTTTCGATATTACATACAGACACTCCAATTTTATTATATGTGATTATATGACTTTGACTATGGGCTTTGTTCCATCTGTAACTAGCATAATCAATAAAGCTCAGAGACCCGGAGGCGGCGCTTGACCTCAAAGCGAGTGACGTAACGTGTTCTCCGAAACTGACATCATTTCGTCCGGAGCTTCTTTATTTTATACAAAAACAACGCCATTTTAATGTAAAACAACTCTTTAAAGCTTGAAATTAAAGTAAATTAGTTTTTATTTTTAAATATGGAACATTAGTATTTTAAAAATATCTTTACGATTTAATTGCTTCAAGATAGTTTTAATACAAACGACAAACTGATGAAACCAAAATTTTGCTTTTTCTTTTTAGATTACTCGCTGATTGCATTAAATAATATTACCTTTTGATATGTAGTCAACAATTTGTTCCAAGCAAGGACGTTAGTTGACGCGCGTTTTGAATGCCAATTGACTTTTGAATACGTAACGGACTTGTTACTACAAAATACAAGCCGATCAATTGTCCGTTTGTTGATCATTCGATATGATTGTATCTTTTGTATGAATTGTTGATTTAACATTGTGATACGATGATTGTTAATCGTTGTTTATCATTGTTGGTACTATAAAGTGCTGCAATTAGAGCCCCTGCAGACTATAGACTTTTTCGGCTGATTAGACGGATGCTATGTCAAAATAAACATGTGTGGAAGTGTGCATATTACACCGATTCGGTTTAATATTATCTTGTTAAGCCCAACTATTTAAACTATCGACTGACAGAAATCTAGTCTGCGGATACCCTTAAGGTGTATTATTTGTATACTTTGGATTGTTTCTTACTATTTATCTATCCCTTGCTTCCCTATAACTCCAGTCAGTAAAGCAAGGCAGCGTAATGTCATAATATAACAGACACAATAATATTAGAAGCTGTTAATTTATTAATCGTAATTTCGCACTACCGGAACAGAAACATCGAAACATCACTTTATTCTCTGTGTAAATGCAGTGAAAACTTACGTTTATATTCAATCGAGCTAACCCTTTGTATTTCTAATGTAATGAATAGAACATCTCCGAATTATATATTTGAATTTCAAATTAGAACGTATTCATAATTGAATCGATATTATGCAAATGTGTTTATTAAATCGATTAATCACAATAAATTACGATTAAAATGGAATCGATTTGAATTTCGAATCGTGACGGTGCATTAATCGGTCGCTTTAACTTTCACCCTTCAATAGTTATTATACACCCTATTATTATTCCTTATTAATCCTCACGTAGGGTTGAACAGGGAATGTGTGGAGCTGACAAATATTTTTAAATTCTAGAAGCTCTCCATTTTAAAAATGGCTTACAAAAGTGTAGTGGACACGAGATTGACAGTTATTTTATTTAAGCCTTATGTAAATATTTTTTTACTAAAACTTTGTACGTTATACTGTTATTGGCTTTTAAGTAATTAATATTATGAGGTAAAAAATTAAGTGATAAGGAGGTCATAGTAATAGCTTAGTGGTACGCTAAAAATAAGTATGATTTAATGCAGAGCTATGCAACAGTGTAACCTGTTTCAAGTTGCGGTCACTGCCGCGGCCGTGACGCGTTTGTGCACTTGCCTTTTAAGTTGTATAACTTTGAACTTAAAAGCGATGGTAGTTCACTATAAGCCTGGACTTTATTTTTTTTTTATCACCGTAAGGCTTGTCAAATTTTGCGATCTTTTGTACTTAATTTTGAAAGATTTTTAAGTTGGTGTAATTTTGTATTCATATAGGTTTCGTCCTACTAATAAAATGCGAAGGTTTTGATGGATGGATGTTTGTTAGTTTTCCGCCTACACGGCTAAACAAATCTCATTGAAAGTAAAGATGTTTAGCATAATGGAGAAGAATACATAGGCTTACTTTGGTATTTTATTCCCATGTAAATGGAGTCGCAGACGAAACCTAGTATGTAATATGAAAAGGGAACATTTAATTTAAATTGTTGTCTAAAAGTAGGAGAAAATGATGTGGAGAAGGAATCACTAGTGAAATCGGCAATAAAAAGGAAAACTTTACAGATATTTACAGTTTAAGAAAATCTAGTTCGAATCACTGTTTAGTGAGGTTCCAATCAGGATGTTTCTCGTAGAAACATCACTCAATACCATACACGTAAAGAAATATTCACACTTTCTAGATCGTCTAGTTTCTGCCTACTTGGT